GAAGTACTTCTTTGGCATAAGGAAGAGCCTTGTTGAGTTTGATGAAGTATTAGAGGTATGCGTTTGTGAATAACGATGTCTTTATTGGAGTGCTAACTGCTGCACAATTCACAAACACTGAGTAAACTTGTTCTTAATCATATTCATTTATTCAGTTCTAAAATTTCTTCACTGGAGAGGAGTATAGTAGACTTCGTAATTCATAATTTCCATGAGAAATTGAGTTACATTGCCTTTTCTATGATTTTAAGTACTCAATCATGGAGATCTTCGATATTAGTTAGCAAATTACAAGTAATGCATCTTGCATGAAAATTACATGCATAAATTCAAAAATAGGAAAGAAAAGAAAGAAAGAAAAAGGTCCTTTCTAATCTGAATTCAATCATTGCTGTCAAGCTTAAATGATTAAGACTCTTGCCTTGTTGCTTATTGAATTGTTTATTCCCTTTTCGCAGGTACAGAGAAAGCATGTCTATGAACTTAGACAGTCCATTTTAACTGGTGATAATGAAAGTTGTTCCCAGCACATATTCCAGTAAGTTTCTGAGTCTCACCAACTTCATTCTCGCTGCCATCTAATTTATCACCCAAATATAGTAGCATTTTGTGTGTTACTTAACTTCTTAATTAATAAACACTTACTATTCTAAACATTGTGTGAGTACTTCAAATGTATTGCTTTATTTTGAACTAGAATACAGCAGGTAATCAGTTTACAATAGCATGCTTGTTCGTACAGATACTTGGATATCGGTGAAAAATTCGAAGTAATAGACATTGAGAAATATGGTTTTACCTGGTCAAAGGAAGATTGTTGATAATGAGTTTAACTTTTAAACCGCTTTGTTTGTAGTATTTAGCAATGTTACAAATAAATTTAAAAAGTGTGCCCTAGAATGGAAAACTGAGTCATCACCTAAAGGTAGCTGAGAGAATCAGTATATATTACAATCTGAAGCATAGGAAAACTTGGGGTTGCTAAGTGTGACAACATCCAAAACAAATTATCAATGTATGAATGCCTTTGTGTTAAAAATAAATAGACAGTGTATATTAGTAAGCATGCCTTTGTATTACTGATTGCTGCGACCATATCTTGCTTGGCCTGTTTTTCATATTTTACACATCTTTGCTTCATTTGTTAATAAATCTAGCTGGGTTTCATATTCTTGTTTTTACTAAATTCTCCTATTCGATTTAACATGCAAATATCACATTTTCTTCCGCACCTTTGTTGTTAATTGACTCAATGGAAGTTGATAATAGGTACATGCAAGCAGTGGTAGATGAAATTGTCTTTGCAAATGTTAATGCACTGAAGGTAGTATGAGATTTTCAAATAGGATGTTGTATACTGCTGTCCACTAATTCATCTTACTGATTCCCTACTGCTTAATAGCATCCAAGAAATTGGAGTTTGGGTAAGCTTTTGAAGGAGTTTTTGACAATTTCTGGGAAACTACTGGATGGTGAGCTGATACATTATTATTATCCTTGTCCTGCATTTCCTGGTTTGTTTGACATAAATTCTCATGGAATGTATATTCTCCAGATTCATTTGCAGGAATTACAGAGGAAGCTTTATTAAAATCTCTTGCACACTTACATGAACTAAACTCTATAGATCTTGATGACATTCACCTTCCAAACTTGCCACGACCGCCAAAGGCCTTCAGAGGAATCCGCAAGAAGAGCTCTTCATTGAAACGTTGGCTTGCTATATGCTCTGATGATTTGACTAAGTGAGTGAACTCTGTGCTTGTGTGTGCGCATAATACCCAAATTGGAGCATGCTATTTTTATTTTGTGTCATTTCTTTTTTGCTTTTTACTTTTTACAATATTATGAGTTTTATCATCCCCTGATATGTTTAATGTAGGAACGGACGGTACCATGCTACTACTAGCCTCCTCCGCAAGTACCTTGGAGATTTTTTAATTGTTTCATACTTGGATGTTATTGAAGAGTCTGGTTACGATGATGCATATGTGAAGGAAGTTGAAGTAAGAATCTTCTCGTCAAGCATACTTTAATTTATTTTTTTCATATCTGCGATAGGTGATGAATGCTAACATGGATTTATTAACTTATGATTATATTGCCTTTAAGAACAAAAAAAATACCTGCACTTATAAGTTGGAATATTTGTTGCTATATGATTACGTAAATATGACACCTGCTTAATGGTTCTAAATAAATGAGTTTGCTACTATGATTCCAGGTAGAAATTCCAGTTTTCTAGGTTTAAGTTTAGAAGTAGAATAATTGTTTTGCTTACAGATTTTCTTATCAGTAGTTATTATGCTCATTTGTTCTTTAGTAGATCTACCAGCACCTTACCTGTTTTTATAGTGTTCCTTTTAACAATTTTTTTTTTCTTAACTAAAATTTCGTCTGAAATCAGAGAGCAGTTCTGGTGAAAACCCTTGATTGTTTCTGGAGGGACCATCTTGTAAACATGAACAGACTCAGTTCAGCGGTATTATGTAATCTGTTGTTGGTTTTACTTTCATTTAGCTTGTCCATAGTCATGGACTTACATGGAATATCTGGCAGGTAAACGTAAGGAGTTTTGGGCACAGGAATCCTCTTGAAGAATACAAAATTGATGGTTGTCGATTTTTCATATCTATGCTTAGTGCAACACGAAGGTTGACAGTAGAATCACTTTTGCAGTATTGGTCATCCCCAATGGAGTCCCAAGAAATATTTCTATCATAAATATGGAATTCTTGACACATTAAAATGTATGTATTTGCTCTACATTTTTCTTTATTTAAATTTTTTTCCTTCCAGTAACAGGCTGCCTAGATTTCACTATCGATTCTTACTGGGGCTACAATAATAAAGTTATACATTAATTTGTCAATTGCTTTGGGGCCCTAAAGAATCATACCTTGGATGTATAATCTTGCAGTTTTGGTTGGTCGTTCCAAAGAACCGTGATTTGCATCTTTTTGAAAATTTCAAATCAAGGTTTTGGCTTCATTCCCATCATCCCAAGGTTTTGTCAAAATTGGGCAATCTCTCTATCGGGAGGCACCTGGAAAAGATCCGTTTAGACCTGATCAGAAGACACCTGTAAAAAGCTTCTTCCTTGCCAGATCGTACACAAAACAAGTAAGTTTATGCAACTGATATTGCTATAGAAAGAGAATGACGAAAGTACGTGTGGTGTTGTAAATTCTAAATGGCTGTACCTTTTACAGGACTATATATAGACAGCATGGAAGGGGCAACTTTGTCTGGCAGGCAAGCTTCTGCCTATATATGTGATGCTGGGGAAGAGTTGGTGGGATTGAGAAAGAAGCTTGCAGCCCAAGATTCTGGGGAATATACACAAAAATTGCTATTACTACTGATGAGCTGAGTCTTGTCTAACACATTGTCATTTGTGATTCATTAGTTAGTACTGAGCAAAACCACCTCATTAGATTGGGAGATATCGGAAAAAATTTAAATTCTCATTCCCAAATATCGCTTGTATAAATAAAATAATTGAAGAAATAACTCTAGTTCAATGGGCTAAAGTGGTATTTTAGCCCTAAACCTTAAAATAATCTGACAAAATTGTCACGTATAAAATTTATAGCACAACGCAAAAATTCCTAAAAATTTACAGTGTGAGAAAATATTTATCAAGTATAGCCGCGTGGCTATACTTTTAATATATTTTTTAATTAACTTCATGAATTACTTAATAAATAGTAATTCAATTTTTCTTTTTTCTTTTTTCTTTTTTCCTTTAATATTCACTAAGTAAAACATAACTACTAATCAAAGTGACTAAAAAAGAGAGATACGTATTAAAGGGTATAGTCGTGAGGTTGGAAATATTCTATTTTTCAGAGTATAGCCGTTCGGCGATACATTGAAGATATTGTATTAGAGTATAGCCGCGCGGCTAGACTCTTTAAATATATACACCAACAATAAAAATATAAATATGGATATCTCTGTAGGCTTAGCTTTTGAGGTGCCCTTCGTAAACACCCCACATTGAAAATCCACTCCTATAAAGTCTTTATAAACGAAACACTGTGATGGTTTGATAAGTGTGGTTAACATTGGAGAGTTGGGCTAACGAGGTTGGCTATAGGTTTGGCTTTGGATTTGGCACTAATTAATAAAAATTATATTAATAAAAGACTTGGGCCTTGAGGCTCATGGCCTTTGGAGAAATTTAATTAAGACACCCAAAGGAAAATAAGTATTTTTTTTTTCATTTTTGACATATCCTTTCAATTTAAAGTCGAATGAAATTAGGTTTATAACTGCTGTGGTTTGAAAATTGCACAAAATAATTAATTACTATTTATTGAGTAATTTATGAAATAAGTAACATATTTAAATATTCACAAAAGAAATAATAATTAAAACATAATTACTTATTAAAGTAATTCAAAAAGGATAAGATATTACTTAATTACATACACTAAATTAAAGAGGTTGGCAAAAAAAGAGTAAAGAAACTAATTTTTAAAAATAAACATAAACACCTCTCCCGACGAAATTTCGTCGGCACAGGTTTATGCCGGCAAATATTTGACGAGTTAGGTTTCTCCCAACGAAAGCCCTCTACCGACAAAATGTCGTTTGGAGAGGTCTAATGGACTTGTGCCTACGAAATTTCGTCGGGGGAGGTCATTTAAAAAATATATATATATAATCTTAGGATGTTTAGGTTAATTAATTTTTTAAAATTTTATTGTTAGTAATTAAATAATATATTGCCTTGTTTAATTAGTTAAATTAGTAATTATATTTTAATTATTATTCATTTAGTGAATAATTAGTATAAAATTATTTAATTAACTTCATGAATTATATTACTTGATAAATAGTAATTCAATTTTTTCTTCTTTCTTTTTTCCTATAATATTTACTTAATAAAAAAATTTCATGCACAGTATGCTTGTATATAAAAAAATTGGGATATTCGAAGGAGATAGGAAGTACTCCATTTTTTGACATAATATGTATAGCTTTTCATTTATCTAATGGTTTCCGTTTTGTGCATCGATGTTTCTTACCGGTCCTTTGTACCATTTCCTTGCATCCAAAACCCACCAAAGCATTATCAGTGCCAAAGCAACACTGAGAGCAATCGGTGCATAGTTGAAAGTTTTCCATCTAAGAGGATAAGAAGTTGGCAACAGGAAGATTGAACAGGTATAGCATATCCACAAGAAGGCCACCAAGCAAACTGGCCTTCTTGCTCTCCCCAAATAAAACGGCCCTGGTTTGAAGTTGTCTTCAGTCATGACCAGCCTAGCGAAAATCGGCACAGCATAGCTGCCCACCCAGCCTATTGTACTAACTGAAAGGATGGCTGTGAACACCACATCAAGTTTCAAGATGGGCAATCCCAGCAGCATGCTGATGGCTGCACAAAGCCACACGGCATTTATTGGAACCTTGCTTCTTGGGTGCACTTTCCTCCAGATTGGTGACAATGGGAGACATTTATCCCTTGATACAGCATAAACCTTGGAGCAAAATAAGCAAAGTTAGTTTGCAGCTTCAGAGAATAGAAAGGGAGGGTCAAGACTTGAGTGATTCGGATTTTCTTACTGCTCGGGCAGCAGTGGTGGTAACAGACAGCCCACAAAAGAAGAAGGAACCGCAGATGATACCCAGGAAAATCACAGCTCCAGTTGAATTGTGGAACCTCCCATAAAATGCATCATATATTATCTGTGCTGGTACAAGTGCACCAGCAGTCTCATTGTCTTCGTTGTACAAATAGTCCAGATCCTGCATTAAGAATTATGCTACTAATAAAGATCCAATAACTTTACTGCCTTTAACTTGATCAAAGAACAAAAGGGTTATAAAAAAAAATCTATTGAGCTTTACCCTGATGCTGAAAGTGAGAGCCAAGTAATACGCCCAACCAAACACTGATATAATCCCAATGCTAGACAGAATGGCTATAGGGCCAGTTCTATCTGCTCCTTTTGTCTCCTCAGTAAGATGAGCTGCAGCATCATAGCCATATAGACAATAGTTGCTTAGAAGCACTGATAAAATCACTGCATAAGGTATGCTAGAGACTCCAGTTGCCTCAGGAGATGTTTCAAAATGAGTGAAGACATAAGAAGCTGTCTGTGTTGGCTGTGCCACCAGAGGAAGCATTATGATCATTAACAAGCCACCAATTACCTGTGCATTTGGTCGAGGTCAGTATTAATTAAGCCTACTTAAACATACACATGATCTACATGACATCAGTAATTTTTCAGTCTATGATGCAGAATTGCAGATAACATGTGTATATTTACAAAGAAAAGTAGCAAGAAACAGAACAGTTGAAGAGCACACCTGCCACCATATGGAAATTATGTTGAGAAATGCTATCACTTGTAACGCAAACGTATTTAGCACAGCCCATGCGATGGTCAGACCCATATACATGCACAGAAATACACTCCTGGATGCAAAATAGCCTCCGCCCTTATTCGTCCCAGTGGCTAATAGAATGAGCATCTGCAATGCTTGTGATCCAGAATATGCCTAAAGGGTAAACAGATAATCATACAAGAAATCAGATTGGTTCATTGTTAATGCATGATCATCATCATCATTAGTTGATTAGTTGATACCTGAGCACCTATTGCAGATACTAGACCGATGGTCTCAAGCCAAGCACAGCACCATGACGCAAATGGCCCCCACCTGGGTCCAGCCAAATGAGCAGCCCAGAAATAAAGAGAGCCAGTGGTCTGGTCAATGTTTGAAGCAACCAAGGTCATCTCAAATGCTTGTTTGCAAGTCCAAAGGAAAAGAAGGGAAAAAAAGCAATGCATACCGGGAAAGAGGAGCATATCTCAGCCATGGCGATTCCAACAAACCATGTGAAGAATGTGACAACAAGCCACCCCCATATCAAGGTTGCCGGACCCGCATAACGCAAGCTTTGGCCGTAGAGGGGTGTACCGGTGAACACTGACATGCATGAAAATGTTATTGCCAGTGTCTTGAACAGAGACTGTAGAAAACCCAAGTGAAAAATATTATATTTCAACACTTCCAAATTCTTTATAGATCAAAATCCAGATTGAAAATAAGAAAACTCTCAACATGGTTGCAAGAAAACAGTAAGAGAGATAAATAGATGACCATTTCCCTTCTCAGTTCTTGCTTGTATCCAAGCTCATTGAGGCGCTTTTCTCCGGAATCCATTTCCAAAGCCTGGTGATCCATTCTGATATCCTCCTCTCTCGGACCGGTTGCTACAATGTACCTATTAATGGAAGAAAGAAAAAAATGTCATGTCTTCAAATCCTCAACTGGATGGTTAGAATATAAGACTGAGGATTTTGAATTAATCTTAAAACTCAATAAACTAATGCTTTGATCAACAGAGGAGGAAGACTGGTGGAAAAATTAATGGAATGGGTCATAAGCATGTGGCTTCTAGTTGACTTAAGAAAAAAATAATGTATGAGATTTCCTACTGGTGTTTTGATTTAACGCTAAGGCTAACCATAGAATCTGAGAATCTGACTTCTTTTATTCTCTCATGGCAACTTTTTGCATGATTGCTCTTGTCTTTATCTTAAGTCCAAGTAAAAGAGAACAAGCAAAAGCAGTTGGAAAGTTTGAAATTTAGTTGGTCCAAAATGCCAATACTAATAAATAACTAAGGTTGATTTTTCTTTGTGCATCTGGAAGCTGAAAAAATAAACTTTTTCTTCCACTAAAGCAAAAAAATAGTATTTCTGGACCAACTGAAATTCAAACTTAGTTATCCAAACAAGTAAAGAGAAGAGAGTTGCCATGATGAGAGAGAGAGAGAGAGAGAGAGAGAGAGAGAGAGAATAAGTCACAAATCCTATAGTAATCTATTGTAAAACCTTTTTCTTTGGCCTATGTCATGTAAACTTCAGCATTGAATCATGGATACACATAAACCTTTTCCTTGGGCAAAACTCAACAGATAAGTCGAAACTATCATCCTAGAAAAAATCTTAAGCATGATTATCTCTACAGCCCACCATAATAATAGGAGTATTGGTCTTCCACTCCACTTGCTTGTGACTAATTCCATTTTCATGCATGCGTGGTCAGTGCAGTCTTTCATTAATTTGAGTTTCATGCCTAATTCCAAGCCACCAGTCTTGTACTATAATCATCCGACTTAAGAATTTGAGATAGGTTCGATCGAAAGAGGGGGATATTGAATATCAAAATGACTACCTTGCAGGTTTTGGAAATGGATTCTGGAGAAAAACGTCTCAATGAGCTTGGATACAAGCAAGAACTGAGAAGGGAAATGGTCATCTACTTGTATCTCTCACTGTTTTATCTAACTTCTGTTATTTCCCATTGGAATTTGGATTTGTAAAAAACTTTCAAGTAGTGAAATCTAATCATTTTCACTTGGTTTTGTTTACAGACACTGTTCAAGACACTGGCAATAACATTTTCATGCATATCAGTGTTTAGTGGGACACCTCTGTATGGCCAAAGCTTGCATTATGCAGGTGCTGCAACCTTAATATGGGGATGGGTGGCTGTCACTTTCTTCACTTGGTTTGTTGCAATTGCCATGGCTGAGATTTGCTCCTCTTTCCCGGTATGGATTTGTACCATCTTTTGGCTTTTCCTTTCCCCTTATTACTTACAATCTGAAACTTTGAATTATGTGAAGCATTTTCTGAAAATGTAGGTATTTAAGATGTCCTTGGTTGCTTTGACCATTGACCAGACAACAGGTTCTCTTTATTTCTGGACTGCCCAATTGGCTGGACCGAGGTGGGGGCCATTTGCATCATGGTCTTGTGCTTGGCTTGAGACCATTGGAGTGGTATCTGCAATAGGTGCTCAGGTATTGCCAGTACTTCCATCTGTTAGCATATTTCTTGAGTGAATTTGGTGCTTGAATGCAGCAATAAATTTCAGGAGATTAATAATGAACTGATGATAAAGATGCACTATCAAAGAGAAAAGTATCATGCACTGCTACTAATTTGATTTTTTTTCCCCATTTATGAGGCATATTCTGGATCACAAGCATTGCAGATGATCATTCTTTTAGCCACAGGGACAAACAAGGGTGGAGGCTATTTTGCATCAAAGGGTGTGTTCTTGTGCATATCTCAACATCATTTCCATATGGTGGCAGGTAAGATAAGATATATGCTCATTATATATATATAAGCATGTTCTCTGCAGACTCTGCTTCATGTAGTTTATTATAATGTGTAATTATTTATTGCATTTCCATCATATATACCAAATCTATTGAGTAGGCTTAGTACTGACCTCGCACTCAAGTATGCAGGTAATCGGTGGGTTACTTGTGACTATAATACTTCCTCTGGTGGCACAGTCAACACAACCAGCTTCTTATGTGTTCACTCACTTTGAAACATCTCCTGAGTCAACTGGAATATCTAGCGCACCTTACGCAGTGATTTTATCGCTGCTTCTGAGCATCTACTCTCTATACGGCTATGATGCTGCAGCTCATCTTACTGAGGAGACAAAAGACGCAGACAGAACTGGACCTGTAGCTATTCTATCTAGTCTTGGGATTGTATCAGTTTTTGGTTGGGCTTACTACTTAGCCCTGACTTTCAGCATCAGGGTAGGCTGTGGTGAAGTACTCTTTTGATTTTGATCAAACTAAAGGCAATAAATTTATTGTATGCTTATTAGAACATGATTCTGAGTGCAGGATCTAGACTATTTATACAACACAGACAATGAGACTGCTGGTGCACTTGTACCAGCACAAATAATATATGATGCATTCTATGGGAAGTTTCACAATTCAACTGGAGCTGTGGTTTTCCTGTGTATCATCTGGGGTTTTCTTTTGTGGGCTGTCTGTTACCACCACTGCTGCCAGAGTGGTAAGGAATACCAAAACTCTAAACCCGAAACCCTCCCTCTTTTCTGAAGCTAAAAGTTCATAATTTTATTTGTTTTACTGATCATAGGTTTATGCTCTATCAAGGGATAAAGGTATCCCATTTTCACCAATCTGGAGGAAAGTACATCCAAGGAGCAAGGTTCCAACAAATGCCGTGTGGCTCTGCGCAGCCATTGGTTTGCTGCTTGGACTACCCATTTTGAAACTTGATGTAGTGTTCACAGCCATCATTTCAGTTAGTACAATTGGCTGGGTGGGCGGTTATGCAGTTCCCATTTTGGCTAGGCTGGTGATGGCTGAAGAAAATTTCAAACCAGGACCCTTTTATTTGGGTAGAGCAAGCAGGCCAGTTTGCTTGGTGGCCTTCCTGTGGATATGCTATGCCTGTTCAGCCTTCCTATTGCCAACTTTCTACCCTCTAAGATGGAAAACTTTCAATTATGCACCTGTAGCTCTCACTTTTGCTTTGACACTGATAATGCTTTGGTGGGTTTTGGATGCAAGGAAATGGTTCAAAGGACCTGTAAGAAACATTGATGTACAAGACGGAAACTAACTCAGCTATATAGTGGAGTTAGATTTCTAGGTTAATTACAACTTATAATAACATTCCAATAACATACAGAGAAATGTTGCACTGCAACTTGAAGTGCAGTAAATCTCTCTCTCTCTCTCTCTCTCTCTCTCTCTCTCTCTCTCTCTCTCTCTCTCTCTCTCCAGCCTCCTCTTGGCATTTATTCCCATTGGTTCAGTCCTGTCAAGCTCTTCATGATTGATCCTATTGTCAAGTTTCGAGTCAAAGTGGTATAGCAGTTGAGAGAGTGCAAGTTCAGCCTTAAGAGTTTCTTTCATGACCAACTTCATGTATTCTAGTTTAGGGATATGGCACACAGTATGTGCGAGTTATTGTGGTTGAAGATCTTTTTAGGGGAATTTGAGGATTACTTATAATGGTCCTTGAAGCTATTTTGTCATAATAAGGCAGCATTGCTCACAACCCTGTGCAACGTGATCAAACCAAACATGTTTGGCGGAAACTTTGTTAAGCAGAAATTTTCAGAAGGATTGATTTGCACTTTCTATGTGAGAACCAAGCATCGACTTGCTGATATTCTTACTAAGGGAGTTTCTAGCAAGGTGTTAATTCTACTCAAGCCAAATTGGGAATTCGAGCTATTCTCCAGCTTGAAGGGAGTACTGACTTGTATATATTTAATTGTACACAAGTAAATGATGATTAGCTTAGTTATAGGCTGATTCATAGGAGGAGCTGACTTTTAGCTTTTATTCTCTTCCCTTATTTGTAGTTAGCTGTGTACTATTTAGGCCCAGTTTGGGATTGCTGTCACTTTTAAAAAAAGTTGCTTCTGCTGTGCTTTGAAAATAATTAGCTGTAAAGTAAAGCAGCTCCGTGTTTGGTAAACAATATTTTTAAAGTGCTGTTAGTACAAAAAGCAATGTCAAAACCGTTTGGTAAGTTTTAATATAAAATTGTTGTAACTGTGAATAATTGTGGAGGTGGTGGTAATGGCAGCATGGTGGTGGAGGTGACAGCATGGTGGTGGAGGTGGCAGCATGGTGGTGGTGATGGTGTTGGTTGTGGTGGTGGTGGTGGCGGTGGCGATGGCGGTGGTTGTGGAGGGAGTGAATGTGGTGGTGTAAGTGGTGGAGTTGGATGTGGAAATGGAGGTGGTGTTATTTTGTAAAATAAATGATGGTATTTTGGAAATTAAAAAAATTCATTAAAGGTTCATCTCTGCTTCTTTTGAAAGCAGCTTTTAAAAGCAACTCATAACCTGCTTTTAAAAGCTGCTGTCAAAAGACCACTGCTTTTAAAATAATCGAGATATTTTATTTTTACCAAACACCTAAAACTGCTTAACTTTAAAGTGAAGTAGGTTTTTGGCGAAAAAAAGCAATCCCAAACGGGGCCTTATTCCTCCTTGTGGATTCCTTTACAATAAATTTTTATATGAAATTTTATACAATATATATATATGTATGTATTTTCTGCATGTGCTTTCTTTAGTCAAAACTCGATGGATATTATCATGCTAAAAAAGTCTTATTGTAAAGCATGCATGACGGCCCACCATAACATGTTCCCTGTTTACTTCCTTTTCTTGCGTCGTCAAGTGCAAGTCTTTCATTAATTTGAGATTCAAGGCTAATACAAAACCATCAATAGTCTTATACTGTAACAATCCAACTCAAGAATTTGATACAGGTTCAATCAAGAGAGGAGGATATCGAACATCTGAACGAGTACCAACCCGGTTTTGGAAATGGATTCTGGAGAAAA